ATATATACATGTAAGGTAGATTTAAAAATACTTTCATTTTACTAGAATTTTTAACAACTTGCCTTGAAAATCAGAAAATTTTTGTATGTATGTATGAATTATACAAAATCCTTAATATTTTCCATCTGTATAAGTTTATAAATCATAAAATAAAATTAAAAATCACTTGACTTTCAATAATTAAATTTAAAAAATTTAAAAAAGCTATAAGGACTCTGAAAAATAAATATTTTACATTGCATAACATTTTCAAATTTTATTTTCAAAAACTACAAGTAAAAAACTATATAATGCATAACCGATATAAAATTCAACTTTTATAAAATTATTAAAATAAATATCCAGTCTTTATTAAACAAAATTGCACCTAACACGAAATTGTTATCTTCAATACTGAATATTGGATTAGTTGTAAAATTGGTGTGCTCTGATATTTAGAGTCCACTATTATCATTAATAGTATCACTATAATCGTTGATAAACTCCGAATATAAAAACATATAAAATGTTAGAAAAATCAATTTCAAAAAATTTCTTAATTTTTAATAAAATTCCTTGAGAATTTCTTAAAAATTTCCTAATTTTTGAAGGCATCAATAAATTCCCTGAGAATTCCAAGTTTTCTTAAGTTATTTACCAGGTATCTTATATCATCTCATTATATATTCGTCACGTTATATTCTTCGATTTTTGTCAAATAAATGTGACTAAAATCGACATATTCATAGAAAATGAAAATTCAAACGAAGGCTTCGTGCGATATTCATGTGTAAACATCCCGCTTCACCCTCAGAGGATATCGTCACGTAGTTACGTGTTGCTCAAGTTGTTGCGCAATATGCAAAGAAAGCCCGACGTGCATCAAGTTGGTTAATTAACTGCTAACTATTAACGTTTTCGCTTCGTTTGTCCGTAGCATGTAGAGTTTCGCTATTTGAATCTTAATTGTGTCGCGAAAAGGCGATAAAACGTGAAGTGTGTTCCCGTAATTATAAATAAATTGACACGCCGTATCGATGTTCTCGAAGGATTGTTTACATCGCGCATGGCGTTCTAATTTACGACGTTTATTAGACGTTTCAAATCTGACAAACGTGGCCTGATCTTATATTGACATAAATGGATAACTAAATCTTCCGAGTAAACAGTTGGATGCATTCCATCGTGTATCTTGCAATCGCAACATACCTTTAATATTTCTATCATTGTAGATTAATTTTAATCTCGATTTAATATTTTTCTTCAATTCAACAAAAAAATAGAAAGTAGAAAATTAAACCGAGATTAAAGTTGAATTATTTACATCGGTAGAAATGAATATAAATCTCATCAAATCATCACCATGCTATTTTAATTTCCGTTTAGCTCGCATAATAAGCGAGTCACTCGTATTAAATAAGTATCTGGCAAAACGAAAAAACGACCAAATTGCGGAACAGTTCTCGCCTTTATATCCCAGAAAGGGACACCATAAACTCAAGTTTCAAGTCTCTGCCGAATCGTAAAACCGCAAGGAATTACTTTAGCCGCCGGGAGGTCGCTTGGACCCACCATCACGGTGAAGAACGAACGGAAAAAGGAGAATTGAACCGCCGGTCGTTGTACTCGCATCGAGTAAACGTCGAGTAAACAAGAAATTATGACAAATGGCACTTTCATATCGGCACATCGAAGACCGGGT